AAGAGGCTAACAAGAGGGTCCCCAGAGGCTCCAACGAGATCCCAAAATTCCTCCCCAGAGGCCCCCGATAGCTTTCCCAAGAAACCCCAAAAAGCATCACTAAGGACTCTGGCCCACGTCAGCGTCGTCGTGGTCGCCGCCGCCGCCGTCGGTGTCGTCCCCCTTCAGGGTCGGCGGTACCGGCCGTAAGGCCTGCGCAATCTGCTTACTGGGAACCCGCCTCCGCGCTTGCAGCGGTTGGTGTGTGTGTGTGTGTGTGCGTGCGTGCGTGCGTGCGTGCGTGCGTGCGTATGTATGTATGTATGTATGTATGTATGTATGTATGTATGTATGTATGTATGTATGTATGTATGTGTGTGTATGTCTGTCTGTCTGTCTGTCTGTCTGTCTGTCTGTCTGTCTGTCTGTCTGTCTGTCTGTCTGTATGTATGTATGCATGCATGCATGCATGCATGCATGCATGCATGCATGTATGTATGTATGTATGTATGTATGTATGTATGTATGTGTGTGCGTGAGCGTGAGCGTGAGCGCGAGCACGAGCGTGAGCGTGAGCGTGAGCGTGAGCGTGAGCGTGAGCGTGTGCGTGTGTGCGTGTGTGCGTGTGTGCGTGTGTGTGTGTGTGCGTGTGCGTGTGCGTGTGCGTGTGCGTGTGCGTGTGCGTGTGCGTGTGCGTGCGCATATGTGTGTATGCATGTGTGTGTGTGTCTTGTCTGTGTGCGCGTGTGCGTGTACCTAAACGTTGTTTTTCGTTTTGGGTTCGTTTGGTTGTTCGTTTTGCGCAACCTGTTTCCCTGTACCTCCCTGCCAAGACGAAAAGCAGGACACAGCCGAAGTCCAGCAACACAGCCCTTGCGTCCAGCCCTGCTGCCGCAGGCAGGACATGCAAGGTGGTCGCGGGACGCCCGTCGGGCCGTCCTCCTCCTGAGCCGACTCGCGCCCTCGCGTCGAAATACCTCCCAGCTTGTTGCGGGGCACCTCGCGCATAGGAGGGGGGGGGTCGGAGAGGAGAGCGAAGGGGATCCCGATTGGCCCCCACGCGGCCCCGATGAGGACTCTCGGAGCGCCGACCAATTCACCCCGACGGAGGGGGACGCGACAAGAAGGGCAGGGAACTCTTGCCAAGATGCTCTCGGCCGACAGGCTGACGCCTCAAATGTTTCTTGTATTGCTTTAGTCGGTCGTTGGCGGGAATGGGTTTGCTGGGACCTGGTTTAGTGACTTGGGCGGGGGGACACCCCCCAGCCCCATCCCACTAATTATCGAAACTGCCATCACCCTACGAAACACCAGCTACGGCAGACCTGGATTAGTAATTCCAAGATGTTTTGTGGGTTTCGGGGGCAGTCCCTAGCCGTCTCCCCTTACCCAGGGTCCTGGCGAGTTCCGATTTAGAACCGCAGCCTCGCGCCACCGAGTCAGTGCCAGGCGGGGAATGGGAGGCCGAGAGGGCTCATGGTACACGCACCGCTCGCCCTGCCAAGTGCGCAAGGCGTGAGCGGGTGCCCGAGGAGCGACTCGGTGGCCATGGGGTCGTGCTTCGCGAGCCTGCCAACGGCGGAGATATTGATGCGCGACCTGGCGCCTAGTGCGCCACAGAGACTGAATCTTCAAGCTTCTACTGATCCGGGTCAGCGCAAGCCCGGGCCGGTCAGGCTTTGCAGGATCCTGCAAGCTCCTCCAGGATCCTGCAGGATCCTGCCCGCTGGCCCGGGTCAATGCAACCCTGGCTTTGCAGGATCCCGCAAGCTCCGGCGCTCGGGCTAACCCCCGTGTACATTGGCACCGCGTCCGTCCCTGCCGGCTCGACATCTACAAGGCGCTGCTTCCCCAGGTCGTGGCCTACGCGTGCGCGGTGCCGGCCTGGCCGGTGGGGTGCCCGCGCGCGCTGCGCGACGCGCTGCCGATGCCCAGGCAGTCCAGGCCGCCGAGACTGCCCAGGGCTCCGCCCACCAGGCACCACTTGGACCAGTTCGTCTCGTGCAACTGCACGCCGATGTGAAAGAGCGGGTGCGTGTTGGTGAGCTCCTTGGGGGGCCCAGAAGACGCAGGTGCCGCTACTTCCCGGGCCTCTGCGACGGGGCGATTTCTGACTGGGATTCGGGATCCGGCCACGGCTACGGGGACCACCCTGGGGGCCCCAACACATCCAACACGAAGAGGGGGCATCGTTATCGTGCGTACTTCTGATTTGACCATCCCGACAGGTCTCGTCCGAGATCTGCCCCCCGTGGCCCCCTGGCACGTGGAAGCGCGGGGGAACGCCAAAGGCTGTTTGGAGGGTTTCCTGTCATCGTCTAAGGCCCACGCACCGCCCCCTTCCCCCCCCGTTTCTGGGGGATCCCCAAACCGTGTGGTGACAGACCGGGCGGTGACCTCGGAACCCCAAAAGACCTCCCCGCACGGCCCGTCACCGCACGGTCTCGGGCCCCTGGAGGCCCCCGTCGCCCGAGACATCCTCAGAGCGGGACGTCGAGCCCCAAAACCGTGCGGTGACCCCGAATCCCCGCCGACGAACCACACGGTGTGGTCACCACACCGTCTGGGGGCCTCCGAGTTTCTTTTGCAAACAGAATCCGGAGGAGAAGGAGGAGGAGGATGAGGATAAGGAGGAGGACGAGGAGGAGGAGGAGGAAGAGGAGGAAGATGAGGAGGAGATCGCCAGGAGATCGCCACTGGGGACCCGTGTCCCGTCCTTCCTCAGCCCTGGCCGCGAGGAGCACGAGCCTCGCGCCAGGACGATCCGATCGGGAGCCCAGGACGCCGAAGGAGCACGAGCCTTCGCAACCAGGGGCCACCAAACAGTGCTTGCGGCGCCCCACGGCGCCAGGACAGCCCCCACGGGACGCGCAGTTAACTTCGCACCACGCGCCGCCCCCAAGGGGCAAAGGGGTCCACAGCAGCACGACTACCCGCGGACCCCGCACCGACTGGCCGCAGGCTCATCGGTTGTACTCCCACCGCTGCACATCGGCCTCCTTGAGGTCGCAGCCGTGGTGATCAGCGAGTGCCAACCTTGCCGAGCCTGGCTTGATGAAGGAAGGCCTCGCTGACATACTTCGTCATCTGCTCCTGGGAGAGGTTGCCGCCATACTGAGCGAGGATTGCAGCCACGAGGCTCTGCGGACGACCAGGCTCTATCGCGTCCAGTTTCACGACCTGCCCCTCAGCGTCCTTCAGCACCTCCCCAGGCTTCTGGGAGTCGTTCGCCCCCGTGTAGGAACGAGTATTCTCCAGGACCTGAACGTCTCTGTCGCTATTGTTCGAGCCCTTGATCTGCGTGTCCGAGATGTCGAACGACGCGTAGTCCACTGGCGTGGAAGGTGGCATCTCGCACACAGGGACCAGCATCAGCGGGTCCGAGATGTCGAACGAATCCAGGCCAGCAGGAACCGACCGCGTCTTGATATCCACCGAGGCCAAGGTGGGGAGGACGTCGGCGCAGGAGTCAGGCGGGAGCTTCTTCTTGACCTTCTTCTTCTTTTCCTTCACAACCGAGCGGGCCTGGACGGGCGAGTGCTCCAGCTCGCCTAGCTTGACAATGGAGGCGGAATCCACAACCTCAACATTCATGTCGAAGTTCTCCAAGCTCTGTGACACCATGACCGACCCGCTTTCCGTTGACGCCTCGGTGACGCCACACTCCAAAATCATCTCCTCACCGTCCTGCACGAACTCCTCCTCCTTGGGCCCCATCTCCTTGAGGTCGACTCCAGACTTGTCCAGGGTGCTGATCGCCCTGATGACCCGCTCCGCGACCCCTGAGGACGGGTGTCCACAGGCGCGGCGCCCTGCACGGAAGTCGACCCACTCCTTGGCCAAAGACTTCTGGCCAGCCTGCACGAGGAGCTTCCTGACGTCCTCGCCCGTGGCCTTCCGCTCCAGGCCGAGGGACTGACCAGCTTCGTCCAGCACCCCCTCGAACGTGGCGAGGACCCCGCAGGCAGGACAGCCAGCGTCCGAAGCCGCGGGCTGGGCCGAGATGGCCTCGCGGCTCGCCGTCTCGACCGCCACTCGGAAGAGCCACTCCTTGCAGCCTCTCCGGATCTTCACCGCCTCGATCGCCTCGAGCACTGCCTGGAAAGCAAGCGCCTTGCTGCTCCCCATCCCAGCGCTCGAGGACACCGGTACCATCTCGGAAACACGAAACCTGCGAAACAGGGGCCCGCAACCTTGAGCCAAAATGGCTACGGAGGAGGAAGAGGAGGAGGAGGAAGATGAGGAGGAGGAGGAGGGAAAGGAGGAGGAGGGAAAGGAGGAGGAGGAGGAGGAGGAGGAGGAGGAGGAGGAGGAGAGCCTCTGCAAGAGCGAGGGGCCCGCGCTCCCGAGGCCACGACCCCTGGCAGAGCAAGCTGCGTCCGCGCGGCAGCACGTGCAGAACGACGGGCGCGCGCTCCCGAGCCTCCAGGACGGCGAGGCAGACCGCCAGGGCCACCGAGGTGGCCCGAAATACCTCCACGATGGCCTAAGGTACCCCCAAGACGGCCCACGAGGGCCACACGGGCAGGGCCCGAAGATGCCGAAAGCGGTGATGCCCTGAGGCTTTTGCAGTACCAAGGCTTTTTCACCTGTTCGGGCTTGCTTTTCAGCTCAAGAGGGCCCCAGAGGCCTCCAAGATGGCCCCAAGACAGCCCAATGAGGCCCCAGAGTGGCCCAATAATCATCCAAGACGGCCTCAAGATAGCCCGAGAGGACCCCTAGATGGCCTTGGACAGCCCCAAGGAAGCCCTACTCTGGCCCACGAAGGCAACCCGAAGGACCCAAGACGCCTTTAGAGAGACAGTCGACGGCCCAAGACGGCCCGCACGGACGCAAGTGAGAGCCCCCCCTGACGGCCCAATGAGGCCCCAAGACGGCCCAAGAGGGCCCAAGACGGCCCAGGGGACCCCCAAGACTGCCCAACAGGAGCCCAGGAAAGGTCGGAAGGAAAGGAAGACGACGGCGAAGACAAGAATAACATCCGCGCCACGACGCGGAAGAGTGTCACATGTTACGGCTCTCCCTGGCCTGGGGACACGAGGTGTCACACGTTGCGGCCAGCTGCACGTCCCCCGAACATTCGCCGTCCAAGGCGCTGGGCTGGGCTGGCACTGGCACGGTGGCGGAACTCCCCGCAGGCAGCCGGATATTTTTCTGACGGCCCGAAAACGGCCTCCAGACGACGAAGCAACTGGATCCTGGTTTTGTTCCACCACCCCACTCTCCCCATGTCGCCCTCGTTCAATCCTCCCCCTCCACGAGTACACAATTTGAATATGAACCCAGCGTGACCCCAAGTAGGTGAAAACTTCCTATTGCATGGGCGTAGTGCTTGGCATTGCTTGGCATGAGGCACGAGGCACCCGGGGAATCTGGGGAACCCGGGGAGCCCCGGGAACCAGGGAACTCGGGGAACCTCCGAGGAACGGGCAAAGTAAGCCGCCCGAGGCACCAACCTGTAACCAAGTAAGAGCCCCTTAGGCAAGCCAAATTGGGGAAGTACTCTCCTCTCCCCCGGATATTTCTGGAGACGGGCCACTCCCACTCCGCGTACTGATTTCGCACACATGTTTTGCACGAGCGAGCTTTTGTGTCATGATTTCTGAATTCGATCCCTTCGCGTCCAGTTGTTTTACTCACAAGATTTGTCTTGCGTTCTCCTGTTCTCCATCCTAAAGGCGCTCCGTCTTCAGCGTCGGCAGGATGTCCGCGTTCCCTGTCCTTTCAAAATGGCGCCCCCGCTACAACATTGGCCTCGTTTCCGCGTTCGCTGTCATTTTTAATGGAGGTCCCGATATCGCCTTGACCTCAATCTGCGTTTCTTGGCTCTTTCGAATAATTGTCTCGCTATCCCGTTCCACTGCAGCCTTGGCCTCGTATCCGCGTTTGCGTCCTTTTCAATGGTAGTCCCGCTGTCGCGCTTTGGCCCCTTTATCTCTGCGCCTCATCATCAGTCTGCGTGTCAAGGCTGCTTGGCTCCCTCTGGCCCATCTCGGCATGAAGGTCTGATTCGATACCCGGTTCAGTGAGAAGGATGGGAGGGAGGGAGGGGATGTTAGAAGAGGCGCGAGCGCTCCTGGCTTGTCCCAACCAGTCACTCGACCCTCTCCTCCCGCCCACCACCCCCGCCCTTTCCCTGAGCTCCGTGTTCAGCACGCCGAGATTGACCGTACCGCCGATGGTATGCTCGACCTCCATGCGGAACAGCGTCAGTGGCGGCTTCCGCACGGGCCGCCCCGTGTCGTCGTAGGCCCACCCCTTGTAGCCCTCCAGGTACAGCGAGTAGGCCAAACCTGATGTGGAGGGGCCGCAATCAATATGTTGTCATCGCAACGGGGCCCAGCGGCAAGATGAGGAAACGACGGGCGAAGGCGACGATGACGATGAAAGGGGGGAAGAGGAGAGATGGGGAGAATGAGAGAGGGGGAGGCGTTACGAGGGTGATGGGGGGGACACAGGTTCACGTCGCGATGACGCGGTCGTTGGCTTCTAATTGCGCCTGGGTCGTTCAGCTTTGACCGATCGCTGCTTTCCGATGTCTCGTATCGTTGGATGTCAGCCGATTCCGGGCAACTGGCGGAGTTCAACCTGGATCGCGCGCGATGGGATCGCCGCCGTGGTAGCGCGGCGCGAACCCACGGTTCTGGCACAGGAGAGGCAAGATCGACCTGGAATCGGCGACGCACCGCCTAATTATGGATCGGCGAAGCCGCCCGTTCTCGGGCAGGGCTGGGTATCTACCAAGATGCTGGAAGCAAACATTTTTCGTCGGCGGCGAGGCAGAGGCAGTCCGCTCCAGCGTGTGGCTATAATCCTAGAATCGGGGCAACCGAAATGCGAATTGTCCGGCGCGCAAGAAGAAGAAAGAAGACGAGGGCTGCCGCGCGGGGGGAGGAGGGGGAGGGGAGCGCCCAGAAGTGGAATAATTCCGCGTAGAGCAGGCAAAGATACTGGAAACGCGCGAGCATGGCTGGACTCACTTGTGGAACCTCCGGGGGCCACGCGCTGTCACGCACGGGGGAAGCCTGGCGCAGCCAGCCACAAAGAGGCCGAACGCTGGGAGGGCACCTGGTCACGTGTGCACCCGGGCCAGCCGCGTCGTGTGTGTGTGTGTGTCCAGATTTTTGGCAGGCCGCCATCGTCGACGAATGGTTGACCAGAGGTCGACCACAAGAAACCTTCCACAAGAAAGCTAACCCTGAGACCCCAGGACGTCCATCTATTTTTGGTGTGGGAGCGTCGCGCTTTCCATCGCAAAACCCCCGACCCCCCCCCAAAAAAAACAGGGCACCCTGAAGGCAAGAAGGGTGTTTCTTGGCATGGGCCTCCACTGTAGAGGTCGACATTTTCAACCCTGCAACCCAATGCCCCCCCCATTCGGTGCCCCAGTCGGCCGCTGCCAGCGGGCGGAGGGGCGAACTCTGGCGTGGCGCCATCCTTCAAGGAATAACAACGGCATAAACATAAACTTCCGAAGGTCCGCGTGGATTTCTTGGATCGGCGCTGGAGCCCTCTGGCGGTGCTCCCGGCGCCGCTGCTGGCGCGCTCCGCGCGCCAGGGAGGGGGGGGGGTCCAGCGTCGCCCCAGGAAATCGGCACGAAAAGTAGATGTTTGGCCACCTTGCTTCATCTCGAATCCTCCAGGCCGAGGGCGCCCCTGATGGAGGACCGAATCAACTTACCAGGACGAGAATTCTGTAATGATAGGATTGTCGCAGGATGCGTTTCAGAATTTCCAGAAACTCTAGTAGCGGCCCTCGTTTCTGCAGCCCGTGTGGAACATTCGGGAATCTGGGAAATCTGGGAATCCTGGAAAGTATCATTATCATGACCTCTTGATTCTCTGAAGTACTTCGGTGGCAACTCATGAGAGTATCCCATGCCATCTTGTCGGCTCTTGCGAATCGAAGATCCTCGACGCTAGATCGACGCTCATCGACGCTAAATCGACGACGCCAATCGATGCTGGCCGACGCCAAATCGGCGCTGCCTCAACCACTCCCAGACGCGAATCGACGCTGAAGATAGAATTGAGAGGGCACACCAGGCTCCAAAGACTTGCCACCGCGGAATGCGGCGCCCAAGCTCTCGGACGTGCGCGCGGAAGTCACGGGCAGGGGAGCCCAGAATCGAATCGACAAGTCGGATCAGCGATCGACGTAGGTCGGGCCGGCGGACATCGGCAGCCGAGCCGGGAAAAGTCCAGTCGGCGGACATCGGCAGCCTGGTGTGCGTCCAATGAAAAATCGGAGCCCACATCGGAATCCGAACTCCAATCGAATCGGAATTGGAATCGGAAGCCACCGAGGTCGAAGCGAATCGAATCGTAGGGATCGAAACGGGCCCTGCACGGGCCCGACCGCGCGAAGCGTGCTCCGTGCGGAGGCCGCGGGCGTCGCCCCAGTGCCGACCCTGCTGTGGGGCAGCAGCTGAGCTCGGCCAGGAGAGGCTCGGCGAGGCCGAGCTCGGCCGGGCTGAGCTTGGCCAAGCTGCATCCTACCAGCCCTTTGGGCGCAGGTGGTCTGGAGCGGTTTCTCCTCCAACCCCTCCCTCTTCACCTTCGGGGATACCCCCTCCCCTGGACCTGTGGGGGGGGGGGGAGTTCGCGAGGCGATGAAGCATCCAAGATGGCCAGGCTGAGCTCGGCCTTGCCGAATTCGGCCTTGCTGAGTTCAAACCTGGCCGAGATCGGCTGGCCGAGCTCAGCCTGGCAGAGTTTCGCCTGGCCCAAACCTTCCCTTGTCCTGGACATCCGCGAGAATGTCCAAGAGCTGATGGCGATGTCTGGAGGCCGCCCACACGAGGCTGGATCAGATGGGGCCGGAAGACCGCGACGCACTGCCGATGCTCTGGCGATGCGACGACGTCGGGATGGAAAAACCATGCTCATGCTCGAACATCGTCGATGCGGCGCGATCCTCCGGCCCCGCCCCCCGTGTGTCGGCGGCATGCCAAGGGGAGCAGGCAGAGGGGACGGGCCCTCGCAGAAGGCTCCAGGACCTCGGGCTCTCTGGCAGGCTTCTCGGGCCTTCTCCGGAGCCCCGCCGCCTTCCGAGAAGGGCTGTCCCCCCCCCCTCGGCGCGCCGCCGAGTTGGGCGGCCTGGAATGTCGCACTTTGGTTTTCGGCCTGAGGGAGTCTACAATCAGGCTCTCCACGGTATCCCCGATGACGACGGCGTCGAGGGGACTCGAGGGAGCCTTTCTCGCGGCGGTGGCCCCTCCCTGCTGCAACTCCAGGTCGGCCAGCGGGGTGTTGACCAGGCTGATGCCCTCCGCCGCATGCAGGGCTGCCTCCGTGAGGCACCAAACCAGCGACATCACAGACAAGCTGCTGGACGTCCGCAACAATTCGCGGATCGGAGCTGACCTCCCCCCCCGCTTCCCTGGCGCGCGGGCGACGCCAGAAGCGCCGCCCACCGGTGCGGAGAAGCGGATCCAGCGCCGACCCAAGAAAATCCGTGCGAACGCCCAAAAGCTTATCCTCGTGATCTTGTTATGTCTTCGACTCCTCGCTGTCAATAGTACCGGTCTTTTTCTGCATCCATAACGACAACTTTGTATACAAACTCCGGGCAAAGTTCATGAAACCCATAACAGACCTGAGCATCTTGCCGATCATCGTCTCGATCTCCCCAGCGGCGCCCGGCAGCGTCAAGGAGGATGACACCTTTATCTTCCAGATCGCGTCCTGAGCTGAGTGTGACCAGTAATACCCTTTGAACCCGATGAACGCGAGGGTCGTTTTGAAGTCGAAATGGTACGAAGTGGTCGGCGTGACGTCGCCGTCCCACTTCCGCCGCCTCTTCGCATACGTAGCGTTCACCACGGGGCGTGCGAACATGTCACCGAGCTCAGTCAGCATGGTGCTCCTGGTGTAAGACATAAGGGATCCCCTGCCAGCGCCGACACCCAAGGAGGCGACTAGAATGCCAGCCTCCGCCATGGCCGCATAATCGATCTCACACTCCCCCCAGGCTTTGTCCGCCTCGTTGAGAAAGAGGATCTCTTCGTAGGCTGCGGCCTTTGCCTCGGCCTTCACGGACTTGCGCTCCAAAGGGCTGCCGTAGCTGCCAGCCCACCAGTCGGCCAGTCTGAGCTTCGGCTCCCTGGAAAACCACTTGTGCAGGTCCCACTTGTTCCCGAACACCTTGAAACGGTTATACAACATGTACCAAATTATCATCATCGCGCGGTCAACGCCCGTCTCGCCCGGCCCATACGAGCCAGCAGTCGCTCTGAAACTCATCTTCGCACCTACCTTTGCCACCAGCATGTCCAGCTTGCCGCCCAGATGGCACACGAGCCGCACCTGAACGTACTCCTCGCGAGCGACCCGCGACCAGCCTTGCCGGCCGCGCATGGCCTTGCCCTCCAGCCCCACGGTGACGAAGAATCCAGTGCTCAGGATGGGGACCGCCAGTGTCACCTTGAATTCTGTCGAGTCTCCTGCGCGAGGGATGGCCATCTTGATGGCTTTGGCCATCATGCGAAAGCCCTTCGTCGTGGTCGAGGCCTGCACCAGCTTCTGCTGGAACTCCCTCTCCCCGTGATTGTGTCTCACAATGCCCTCGAGGGTGTCGACGTCGGGACTGAAGACTGGCAAGATGTCCTTCTTGTTGTGAAGGTTGCAGGCCACGAACTGCCAGCAGGGGAAAGTCTGAGACGCCTGGCCGATCTGCGCGTGGCAGCCGATGGGGCACTGGCTGTCCGCGGCCTGGACACACTTGCCGTCCTCGTCGATGCAGCTCTTCGTGAAGGGCTCCAGGCTGTTGACGTATTGATTCACCTTGTAGTTTCTTAGGTCCTTGAGCCGCCTCGCCTCTGGGTTTTCGGAGAAGAGGCTGAACTCGAACTGTTCCCTGAACTCCTTCAGCATCTGGGTGAGCGTCTTGCCGTCATCAGCGACAACACGGCGTCCCTTGCGCTCTGCCAGCCGGGTCTTCATCGCGTGCGCCACTTCCTTCGCGAACTCCACGCGCAGTTCGTCAGCCAGCTGCTCGTGTACGTCTTTGGTGACCTCGTCGATGAAGACCGACATGAGGTTGCTGTCGGCCCGGCCCTGCGAGTACAGCTGCAGGTACCTCATCGTGGCGGGGCCGACACCTTCGCCGTCGAAATCATCATCGTCGTGTGTATCCAGCGTGGCCTCCAGGAACAGGGCCTGCACGCTCTCTTTGACAATGCGCTTGAAGTCCTTAGCCGCCTTCAATTTCTTGATGATCTTGCCGGCGATGGACCACTTGCCAAACGGCTGGAACTCCAAGATCCGCTTCACGGTATCCATGATTGCGGCGTTGAAGTTATCGACGTCGACGAAGCTGCAAAAACGGAGTCCCTCGCTCAGGAGCTCCCTCGCGGTGTCCATCTCGTCCCGGATCTTGTCCATGACGACGCGCTGCCTGTCCAGCTCGGACACGACACTGTCCACGCGCGTCCTGAGAACGCCGACAAACTTGGCGGCCAGCCGCCACGTCGGGTTTACGAGCCAGTCCTGCCATGCCTCCATGACCACCCTAGAATTGGCTTTCACAACGTCGGCGTATGCCTTGCCTTCCTGGAGAGAGAGGAAAACCTCATGAACACAAGGCTTCGGAACTCCGCGCGGAGATCTGGCATCCGCGCTGAGCCCCCCTCCAGGGGCGGCGCCCGGAGCGCCGCCAGGGCGGCACAGCGCGGAGCCGAGAACTCCGCTCGGAGCCTCGACAGCTCATGGACCCGCAAAGGCTTTCTCACTCGGCTTCCTCCTCGAGGTCCACGATGACGTGGTGCCCCCACCCGCGCGCATACTGCGGCCCCTTGACGCGCTCCAGCCGCCGCTTGAAGTCCTCGAGGGCTGCGCCCGTGTACAGCCGCTCCTTGTTCGGGCGGCCGACCGCGGCCTCGGAGAGCCACGCGTCCTCCAGCCGCCTCACCTACAGCAGGCCGCCGCCGCCTCCTCCTCCTCCTCCTCCTCCTCCTCCTCACCTCTGGGGGCAACTCCTTCGTCGACTCTGCGATCCGTCAGGTGCCCCAGAAATCTGCTGCGGACCCATCTGGAGACAAGAAAGGACCAAGGGGCACCCGTTGGCAGGCCGATTCTGGTTTGGTGTGCCTACCATAGAGTAGCACAGACAGAAAAGCATAGCAGTAGGTCGGGCATGTCCCCCTACAGGCGGATTTCGAAAACATGAAAATTCAAATAACGCTCTAAAGTAGGAAACCAATTGTCAAGCAATCGTCCCCAGACTATTTTTTTACTATTTTTGAGCATTCCTCCTGTAGAGGGACAGGCCCGACCGAAATATAGCCTCACCTTCGAGACGTGCGGGGGCGAATTCTTGGGCCGGCAACGGACCCCGCTCCCCTGGGCTCGTCGAGCGCGCCAGGGGGCGGCGCCAGAGGCGCCGCGAAGGGGGCGTATACGGTGATGGCATTGGATAAGGAAACCTTCGACAAGGAATCCAGGTCTGGAGTCCAGTGGAACTCCAATCGTGGATCGGCCATGGGCATCACGGCCGCCCTCATTAGGAAAGGAATCCTCTA